GTGACAACGGCGAGGGTGCCCCGCTGGCCTGCAGGCATGACAGTGGTGCCAGTCACCCGCGCTAAACCTTGTGCTTCACTCAGGGGTCCTGGAGTGTTCACGTGATCCCTGCACAGTGTCTGGCGTGTGTTTCAGCATCACCTGGAGCCACTGCCTGGCCGTGAAGCCGGGCACGCGGGGGTTAAGGACGTGGCTCCAGTCTTCCATCAGAAGTTACAGTCTGCTGCCCCACACATGTGTGCGTCTGTCTTTTCCCTCATCTTGGCACAGCATCAGCCCCGTCTGACCCCCTCGGCCACCTGTCTGCCTTCATCACATGCAAAGGCCTCTGCCCCTGCGCCCTGGACACCCACCTGCCCCTGCGCCCTGGGCACCCACCCATCCCTGCACCCTGGACACCCACCTGCCCCCTGCACCCTGGGCACCCACCCATCCCTGCGCCCTGGGCACCCACCGCCCCCTGCGCCCTGGGCACCCACCTGCCCCCTGCGCCCTGGGCACCCACCCGCCCCAGCGCCCTGGGCACCCACCCGCCCCTGCGCCCTGGGCACCCACCGCCCCCTGCGCCCTGGGCACCCACCCGCCCCAGCGCCCTGGGCACCCACCGCCCCCTGCGCCCTGGGCACCCACCCGCCCCTGCGCCCTGGGCACCCACCGCCCCCTGCGCCCTGGGCACCCACCTGCCCCCTGCGCCCTGGGCACCCACCCGCCCCTGCGCCCTGGGCACCCACTGCCCCCTGCGCCCTGGGCACCCACCCGCCCCTGCACCCTGGGCACCCACCGCCCCCTGCGCCCTGGGCACCCACCTGCCCCCTGCGCCCTGGGCACCCACCGCCCCCTGCGCCCTGGGCACCCACCCGCCCCTGCGCCCTGGGCACCCACCCGCCCCCTGCGCCCTGGGCACCCACCCGCCCCTGCGCCCTGGACACCCACCTGCCCCCTGCGCCCTGGGCACCCACCCGCCCCTGCGCCCTGGACACCCACCCGCCCCTGCGCCCTGGGCACCCACCGCCCCCTGCGCCCTGGGCACCCACCCGCCCCTGCACCCTGGGCACCCACCTGCCCCCTGCGCCCTGGGCACCCACCCGCCCCTGCGCCCTGGACACCCACCCGCCCCTGCACCCTGGGCACCCACCCGCCCCTGGGCCCTGGACACCCACCTGCCCCCTGCACCCTGGGCACCCACCCGCCCCTGCGCCCTGGGCACCCACCCGCCCCTGCGCCCTGGACACCCACCTGCCCCCTGCACCCTGGGCACCCACCTGCCCGCGTCTTCCCCTCGGCCGCGCTGCCCACACAGCTCCTCTCAATTCCCTTCAGGACTCTGCCCCTGACCTCGACCCCTAACCCCCGACCCCCGACCCCCGTGGCGTGCTCACAGGTGCAGGACAAACGCATCATCCCTCGTGGGAGGCAGGGAGGAAGCCACTCCCGTGGTGATAAATGGACAGGTCCCGGGGTGGACTCTGACACTGTCATGGGAAGCAAGTGGTGAGGCAGGGGTCCCGAAAATCCTTTAAACATTTATGCTTATTGATTTGGAAAGCAGTTACAGAGAGAGAAAGGAATGAGGAGAGGGAGAGGGGGAGGGAGAGAGAGAGGGGGAGGGGGAGGGGATGGGAAGGGGAGGGGGAGGGGAGGGGAAGGGGAGGGGGAGGGGAGGGGTCTTCTACCTTCTGGTTCACTCCCCAGATGGCTGCAACAGCTAGGGCTGGGCCAGGCCAAAGCCAGGATCCAGGATCCAGGAGCTTCATCTGGGTCGTGACCTGGGTGTCAGGACCCCAAGCACTTGGGCCATCTTCTGTTGCTTTCCCAGGCCATAAGCAGGGTGTGGATTGGAAGTGGAGCAGCCGGGACTCAAACCAGCGCTCATGTGGGATGCTGGCACTGCAGGTGGTGGTTTAACCCACTATGCATATGCTGCCCCACCCCAAAAAATCCTTAAATCCCAGCCCCATTCAGAGTGCATCCTGGGTGGACCAGCGCGAGCCAGGTCTTCTAGGAGCAATGGGGACCCACCTGGGAAAGCAGGAAGTTGACCCCGGGGGCTCTCCTCGGGGCTTTGGTCAGAGATGAACATGTCCCCAGGAGCACCCTAAGTGACACCCCAGGGAGCAGCCTGACTGCGCACACCCAAAGCCGTCTACCGGGCACCCCCAAAGTTTACCTGCTGCCCGGAGAGACGGCGTTTCAGGCCAGGAGATCCCCTTAGGTCAGCAGCCATCCAAGAAATCTACACCCAAAGTCACGGGCACATAAGTGCTTCCAAGGGCACTGGGTGGGATAACTTCATTCTGATTTTAAGCCAAATGACACGCTTTGGTTGAATCCCCAAAGTAATTCAATTACTTGAAATAAATTAATTAAAACAGCAGCAAACAAAGCAGACCTCGCGGCCACCATGTGGTCTAGCAGGTGAAGTTGCCACCAGCGACTCTGGCATCCCATAGCAGAGTGGTTCAATACCCGGCTCCTCCACTTCCCACTCAGCTGTCAGCTAATGCGCCTGAGAGGGAGGCAGAGCATGGCCTGGGTGCTTGGGCCCCTGCCAACCCGTGCAGGAGACCCGGATGGAGCTCCTGGCTCCCGGCTTCTGCCTGCCCAGACCCAACTCTCATAGCTCTCACTCTGCCAGGGAGGGTGAGGTCCAGTCCCAGGGAGTTGTGATCCAGTCCCAGGAGGGTGTGGCCTGGTCCAGTCCCAGGAGGGTGTGGCCCAGTCCCAGGTTGGTGTGGCCCAGCCCCAGGAGGGTGTGGCCTGGTCCAGTCCCAGGGAGGGTGTGGCCCAGTCCCAGGGAGGGGTGTGGCCTGGTCCAGTCCCAGGGAGGGTGTGGCCCAGTCCCAGGGAGGGGTTTGGCCTGGTCCAGTCCCAGGGAGGGTGTGGCCCAGTCCCAGGAGGGTGTGGCCTGGTCCAGTCCCAGGGAGGGGTGATCTCACATCACAAATGCCTTCTAGCAAATACTAGACCACATGTGATTTGAAATGATGTTCACCAGAGTTTAACATACTTCACGGATTTGAAGACTTGTCATCCTGATCCATGTCCCCTCCAGGGGAATTTTAGGAAAAGCACCATTTAGACCTGAATTATTTGCACAATCAATCGTGCCAGCGCTCGTCAGAAGAGTAGGGAGCTGAGCCGGCGTCCACAGCCATCCTCATCATCATTTATTTCCCTTTGCTTAAGCATCGTAATGTGGCAGCTGATGAGTCACACGGTGAAGGAGAATTCTAAGTGCTTTTTGATGAGGAAAAATTACGTTATTTATACAGAAAGGGCGCATCGGCACGGACTGGCCTGGGCAGGCCCTGGAGGCACCGCTCCCGCAGCAGTGCCAATCCTCCCACACTGGAGCACCCAGGAGCAGCCGGCGCGGGCGGACAACCGGCCACCACCACAGTGACCTTCTGCAGGGTGGGACAGAATGCCACAGCGGCTGCTGCTCGGCCAGGCACAGCCAACACCAGACGGAGCTTAGGAAGGAAGGGGGTCCCCAGGCACACCAGGCCTCCACGGAACACGCCAGACCCTCAGCCCAGCTTCGTAGTGGCACTGTCCCCCGGGCCTCATGGAGGAGGGGGACAGAGTCCCCCAGGCAGCCACACAGGGGGCGTCTGGTGTACCTGGGGGCCTGGTGTGTTCCTGAGGACTCTGCTCTTCCGAGCGTGGGAGTGGACAGCTGTGTCAAAGTCAGTGTTCCGTTGTGGCAGTCATTCCGACGACCGCAACAGAAACTAATGTGTTGCTGTGACTTAAACACCAGCCACTGAGGGGCCAGGGTCAGTCCCAGGGGACACGGACAGAAGGGGCAAGACCGGTGGATGTCCAGACTGCTATGGATCCAACCAGCTGACAGCCACAGTGAGGACGGCCCTTGGTGTCCTCCCTGGGACCCACACAGGCATCCCTTGGCCCCCAGGGGACTTCCCAAAGAGAAGACTTCATATGCCACGAGGCTGGGGTGGGGCTTTCTCACTGCAGACACATGGATCGCAACCCTGCCACATGGAGGCCCCAGCTATCCCCCCATAGGGCTCGCTGGCCCTGGAGGGCTGTGTAACCCCGCCTCCTGCCCCAGGGCCTCCCTGTCTTGGGGAGGGGTGGCGCCTACTTTCCCTGCAGTGCTCTGGAAAGTTCTCCATCTGAGAGCACAGTCCACCCCACTGGCCATCAGGCCGCCAATGGCCTGGTCCTTGCTCACTCCCTTCCCCCACCACGGCTGCTTCCTCCCTTGCTAAAGGTCAGAGACAAGGACATGGAGCAGGTGCAGAGTCCGAGTCTCAGCAGCACTTCCTCCATGGCGCTCCTCAGGCAGGCACTGCTGATGCCTGCCTGCACAGGCCCGGGGTCCCATGGAACACAGGACACAGCAACCTGGACACAGGGGCGCACCTGCTGGGCCACAGCGAGAGCCGGGTCCTGACAGGCACCTACCCAGCATGCACCTGGGCAGAGGACACCAGAGCCCAGACAGCCGATGCAAGGACAGGGACTGTCTCCAGCTCACGCCCACCGCCCTCTGCAGACACGGGCACCTCCCAGCCACATGGCTCCCCCCACCTCTCCCACACCCCCACCACGTATTGCCCCTGCACCTGGAGCTTGGCGTGTGAGCAGGGGTAGACCAGCACCCTTGCCAGAGGGTGTTGGGGACCCGGCAGAGTCTGCTAGAAGGGGCCCGGAGCCTCCACCCGGTGCAGCACAGCAGCCACACAGCAGATGGGCCCGCCATGGTCCAGCCATCACCCCGGCTGCCCTCAGACCTCTGCAGCCTCACCCCATGACCCCAGGCAAGGAAGCCAGGGAGCCGGAAGCCCACACCGGACCCGTGGGGCCCCACACTCACCCTCTCTGCTCGTGGCCACCTGCCCATCAGGGCCCCAACCACGCCCACAGGTCTGGTTGTGCAGCCAGAAGCGGAGTGGCCGGGGGATGCGTTTTCTCTCCACCCCCCAGGTTCCCTCAGGGAGCTCCTGTGAGGCACGGACGCGGTCACCTACCGGTTCCTCTTGGTTTTCACATTCTGGCCGTCCCTGCCGTCTTCGGAGCTGGACCCATCGCTGCTATCGGCTGAAAGAAAAGGAACATGATAGCACCAGAGGCGCGTGCACCGCGCCTGGCAAAGCACCGGGCAGCCCCAGCCTGGAGCAGCCTCCACCCCAAATCCGGCTTTGCTGATCTGCAGAGACAGCATCTGAGCCGCTGTCCACTGATGGGGGCTGCAGGCTGGAGGCCAAGGGGGCCATCTACCTGCCCCCTCTGTTCCCCACCTGCCTCCCCCGTTGTGAGTGAGTGGGGACCGGAGCCAGTGCTGTGGGGACAGATGGCCTTCACCACGCCGCCCTGGGTCCCGGGAGCTCACTGGGGCTCTTGCCCCCTCTCACCTGTGCCCAGGGAGCTCACACGGCCTCTCCTGTCGCACCCCAGACCAGCCGCCCGTCTACACCCCCTGTAGCTCTTGGTTCCCGTGCTGTGCCCTGCTGATATGTCCAGAGCGGGATTTTCCAGCCCTGGTTTCTGGAGTGCTGGGATTTTTTTTAGTACTTTGTGTCCACTGGTGTTCCAGGCAGACGTGGGGAAATGAAGGGAGAGCCGAGCTGAGCCGGGTGAGACCGGTCCCCCAGGACCTGCGCCAGGACACACCCAGGGAGGTCAGAGGTGAAACCTGAACCTTCCTGAAGATGTCTCACACGAGATCAGACACTTACACAGCTGTTCTACAAAACAAATGTAAATAATGTTGGTTACCTTTATAATAATAAAATATAATAACGTTGGCTACTTGTTAGTGTTTGAATGTGCTGATTTTGAGTAACCTCAACTGAGGAAGGCCTCCCTAACCAAGACACAAAATCCAGAAGCCATAAAGCAAAATCTCTGCAAATCTGGCCAACTCGGGCTGCAGGACCAGGGGAGGGGACGCCTGCGCCCGAGTGACAGCGCTGACTCAGTGACTGCTCCCGCCTCCAGCTTCCTGCCGACACAGACCCTGGGACCCCGGGACCCTGGGACCCTGGGGTCCTGGGCGCAGCGGTGATGGCCCAGACCGTCAGGGTTCTGCCACCACCTGGGAGACCCGGCCTGGGTGCCCCACTTCGGTTCAGCCCGGCCTCAGCCCTGGCCTGGCCACAGGCATCTGGGCCGTGAACCAGCAGGCGGGAGCTCTCTGCCTCTCAGCGGATGAGTTTTTAAAAACTTAATTCAAAGTGGATTAAAGAACTCAAACTATGAAGCTCTTAGAAGAACACATTAAGGAAATATTCATGACATTGAATTCCACAATTATTTTCTTAGTAAGTTATCAAAAACAGGTCAATTAAAGAAAACAGTTGATGAACTGGACTTACTCAGAATGATAAGCTTCTGGGGCCGGCACTGTGCTAATCCAGTGCCTACATCGCCAGCACCCCATGTGGGCGCCCCTTCGAGTCCCCACTGCCCCACTTCCAGCCCAGCTCCCTGCTGGCACACGGGGGCGGCAGCGGGAGACGGCCCAAGTGTGGGAGACCCAGAAGAAGCTCCTGGCCTCGACCTGGCCCCGCCCTGGCTGTTACAGTCATTCGGGGAGTGAACCAGCAGATGGAAGGTCTCTCTCTGTCTCTCTCTCTGTCTCTGTCTCTCTCTCTCTCTCTCTGTAAGTCTGCCTTTCAAAGAAGTAAATAATTAATTTTTTTAAAAAAGAAAAACTTTTGTGCACCAAAGGAAGGGGACGGAAGATACCTGCAGCCGGCAGATGTGATGAGCCTGCTGTCAGAAGCCACATACAAGGCGCACAAGTCAGCAACACCAAACAGCCAAGGAGGAAAGAGACAGGACGGGCCACACAACGGCCAAACACAGCTCAACACAGCTGCGCATGGGCCTGATGCCCGTGAACAACCAGCAGACCCAGACCACGCAAACACTTCCCGTGCACAGCTGACAGGGATGGAACAGGCGTGGCCACCGTGGAACCCCGGCTGGCCACGCTCACTTAGATTTCCCACAGGAGCCAGCAGCGCTGCCCCGGGTACGTGCCAGAGAGAACTGCAGACAGACATCTGCACGCTCACGTCCACAGTGGCGCCGCTCACAGCAGCCACAAAGGGCAAAGAGCTCAAGTGCCCATCAAGAGAGGAATGAATCTATGATGTGGGACGTGGCTCACCCACAGAAAGGCGTGAGTCTCTCACATGGACCACAATCTGGGCAAACCACGTGAAATGCACCAGACACAAGTCAGAAACATCACAGGACTGCATGTAAGCAAGGCACACAGGACACGCCCAGCCACAGACAGGGCACGCCCAGCCACAGAGACAGGACACACCAGCCACAGACAGGGCACGCCAGCTACAGAGACAGGACACACCAGCCACAGACAGGGCACGCCAGCTACAGACAGGGCACACCCAGCCATGGAGACAGGACACGGCTGGCCACAGAGACAGGGAGCAGAACCTGGGTGCCAGAGCCGGAGGGCACAGGAAACAGGGTTATTATGCGATTGTCACAGAGAAGCTCAGAAACAGCACTGAGAGGCACGCCACATCACGGAGCGCACTTGGTTCCGCGGGACTCAGAAGCGGTTAACACGGCAAACTTCGTGGTGAGGACACTTTACCACCATGAGAAAACAACCAAGAACGATGTATTTCATGGCAAGAAGAAATAACAAACAGGAGCGACACGCGAGTAAGTGGAGCCAAAGGCTGACAGAGCCCACGTAACTGCAGGAGAGACGAGCGGTTCCCAGAACGCAGAGCAAAACACACGCTGAAGACCCCCAGAGTCAGGCCCACGCCACTCAAGTGAAGACGACGACCCCAGGAAAAGGCACAGTGTGAAAACTAAGTCTTGAGGACGCCGGCAGGGTGAGAGGCAGCAGAGTGTGCCAGAGCGCGCGGGCTGCTCAGGGGAGCACACGTGTGCCGAGTGTCTCGCCTGCACCCAGCACCCTGTGTCAGAGCAAACCAGGAAACCACCCATCCGGGCACGGACAGGAGTGCGAGGATGGAGCCAGGATGCGTCCACACATGAGGACATGCAGATGGAAGGCCACCCGTGGTGAATGACGAGCGGGGAGCAGAGGATGCCCACACGCAACACACACACACACACACACACACGTGCATACATGCACATAAGACAGACACACATGATACACATACACACGTGTGTGCACGAGTGTATACACACATGTACACATGCACACAAAATAAACACACATGATACACACGGCGCACACACACATGGACACATATGCACGGTGGTGCCCCCTCCCTTCTGGCCCAGTGGGAGCGCCCTGCCTTGGGAGAACCCCGGCTGCAGTCTGGGCACCCGCCGAGCTCTCTCCGCAGGACCCAGGACACATCGCTTCCTGCCCAGCATCTGCCCACACCCGAGTTCAGGCCTGGACAGTCACGAGGCCCTCGAATCCTCAACACCTGCTCCAGAGGAGCGCCCCTCCCCCACCCTCTCCTTCTTCCTTTGCTGCTACGCCAGGACATGGGCGGTAGCTGCGGTGCCTTAGGCACAGCCACCAGGGCCTCCACCATCTGACAGCACAGCCACCAGGGCCATCACAGTCGGGTGCCCTGCAAGCTCACGGGGGAGCCTCTGGGAAGATGCTGGCCCTTCCCCCGTCTGCACAGTGGTGAGGGCCTAGCACTCTGGCGCTCTGCACCCTGGACCCTGTAAACCATCTCACCTGCTAGGCAGCATGCATGCCCCAGGTCCCGGCACACACACCCCAGGCCCCGGCACACACACCCCAGGCCCTGGCACACACGCCCCAGGCCCCGGCACGCACACCCCAGGCCCCGGCACGCACACCCCAGGTCGCGGCACGCACACCCCAGCCCCCGGCACACACACCCCAGGCCCCGGCACGCACACCCCAGGTCCCGGCACGCACACCCCAGGCCCCGGCACACACACCCCAGGCCCCGGCACACACACCCCAGGTCCCGGCACGCACACCCCAGGCCCCGGCACACACACCCCAGGTCCCGGCACACACACCCCAGGTCCCGGCACGCACACCCCAGGCCCCGGCACACACACCGCAGGTCCCGGCACACACGCCCCAGGTCCCGGCACACACACCCCAGGCCCCGGCACGCACACCCCAGGTCCCGGCACGCACACCCCAGGCCCCGGCACACACACCCCAGGTCCCGGCACGCACACCCCAGGCCCCGGCACACACACCCCAGGTCCCGGCACGCACACCCCAGGTCCCGGCACGCACACCCCAGGCCCCGGCACACACACCCCAGGTCCCGGCACGCACACCCCAGGCCCCGGCATACACACCCCAGGTCCCGGCACGCACACCCCAGGCCCCAGCACGCACGCCCCAGGCCCTGGCACACACACCCCAGGCCCCGGCACACACACCCCAGGCCCTGGTACGCACGTCTCAAGCCCCAGCACACACACCCCAGGCCTTGGCACACACACCCCAGGCCCTGGCACACACACCCCAGGCCCTGGCACACACACCCCAGGCCCTGGCACGCACGCCCCAGGTCCTGGCACACACACCCCAGGTGCACGCCCCAGGCCCTGGCACCCACGCCCCAGGCCCCGGCACGCACACCCCAGGCCCCGGCACCCACACCCCAGGCCCAGGCACGCACGCCCCAGGTCCCGGCACGCACACCCCAGGCCCCAGCACGCACACCCCAGGCCCCGGCACCCACGCCCCAGGCCCCGGCACGCACACCCCAGGCCCCGGCACCCACACCCCAGGCCCAGGCACGCACGCCCCAGGCCCCGGCATGCACACCCCAGGCCCCAGCACGCACGCCCCAGGCCCTGGCATGCACGCCCCAGGCCCTGGCACACACCCCAGGTCCCGGCACGCACGCCCCAGGTCCCGGCACGCACGCCCCAGGCCCCGGCACGCACACCCCAGGCCCCGGTACACACACCCCAGGCCCCGGTACACACACCCCAGGCCCCGGCACACACACCCCAGGCCCTGGCACCCACACCCCAGGCCCCGGCACGCACACCCCAGGTCCCGGCACGCACGCCCCAGGTCCCGGCACGCACGCCCCAGGCCCCAGTATGCACGTCTCAGGTCCCGGCATGCACGCCCCAGGTCCCGGCACACATGCCCCAGGTCCCGGCACACATGCCCCAGGCCCTGGCACACATGCCCCAGGCCCCAGCACGCATGCCCCAGGCCCTGGCACACATACCCCAGGTCCCGGCACGCACACCCCAGGTCCCGGCACGCACACCCCAGGCCCCGGCACACATGCCCCAGGCCCCGGCACACACGCCCCAGGCCCCAGCACGCATGCCCCAGGCCCTGGCACACATACCCCAGGTCCCGGCACGCACACCCCAGGCCCCGGCACGCATGCCCCAGGCCCCGGCCCACATACCCCAGGTCCCGGCATGCACACCCCAGGCCCCGGCACGCACACCCCAGGCCCTGGCACACACGCCCCAGGCCCCGGCACACACATGCCGGCGAGCCACATGCCTCCCCACCCACGAACACCACAGGTGACTCCTTTCCCGGCCACTCCAGCACACACGGGACTGGAGAGACGTTCACCGTGCCATGTGCTATGGAATTTGCTCTCCATTTTCCTCTCCAAAGTCATGAGCAGCCCCCAGAATGCCTCAGTGTTCCGTGTCGGACCAGAAAAGAGCAGTTACATATTCAAATCTGAATAAAATGTGAAAAACAAAGCCGTGCATCCGGAGCAAGCACCCCCGAGCCCACGAGAATGACGAGAGCCAGAGCCTCTGACGGCTGCGATGAACGACCAGCCCAGGAATGCCACCAGCTGCCCGGGGCTGAGCCCGGCCCCCCTGGCCCCTCATCATTAGTTACCGCTGCAGACGGACCTCCCGTCCTAGTGGCTCTGCTGCAAAGCCCCCTGCGAGGATCCTAGGAAACTGGAAGTTGTGCTCTCCAGCGTCAGTGGGAGCCTGGCAGCCAGAGTGGACAGCTGAGGTCATTTGCATACCCTCCAGGTTCAGGTTTAGGACACAAGACCACAGCTGGTTTAAGACGGCGTCTTCCCTCCTGATACTACACAGGGTGGGGATGTCCTGTGCCTCCGTGTGAGTCTGCAATTTTGCAATCACGCATCCATCGAGAGCAGGTGGGCTCACCAACACCTGTGACATGCCACGTGTCATGATTGAGGCTGTGACGTACCATGTGTGACTGTGGCTATGACGCACCATGTGTGATGAATGAGGCTCTGACACCACGTGTGGCTGTGATGCACCACATGTGGCTGTGACACGCATGTGTGGCTGTGGCTGTGACGTACCACGTGTGGCTGTGACACACATGTGTGGCTATGGCTGTGACGTACCGCGTGTGGCTGTGACACGCATGTGTGGCTATGGCTGTGACACACCGTGTGTGGCTGTGGCGTACCACGTGTGGCTGTGGCGCACTACGTGTGGCTGTGGCTGTGACGCACCACGTCTAAATGCCTTGGGTGTCTCCAGCTGGGTGTGTGAGCTGAAGCCTGCACTCTCGACCTTCCCACGCAGGAAACGAGACTCTCACCCGAGGGAGAAGCGGAGCATTGGCCCAGGGATCCCTGGGTGACCCAGGTCCCGGGCCTGGCAGAGCAGCTGGCCGTGTGGGGTCTGTGGACCCTCCTGCTTCTCAGGCCTGCGTTAGTGCAGACAGGAGCAGCAGGGAGCAACCGTGCTCACGCACAGCGTCCTCACGCACAGCGATCCCCCAGGGGTGACGCAACCGCCGCCGGCAGGCAGGAGGCAGAAGGAGGAGCCACACCTGCTGCACCATTGTCCCCCCCAGCACCAGGCCAACAAAAGCACTGGGCAGGGAACGTGCACCGCGGGCTCCTCCTGACCCCTAAACCCGGCCCCGCCCCACAGCCGGGCTCCGTTTGTAGCTGCCCCGAGCACCTGCCTTCCCAACCCCGAGGACGCACGCTCTCTGGAGAATGCTCCCATTAGCCTAAGTGAAATAAACATATTAAACTTGTCACTTCTCACCCTTAAAAGACTAATGCCACTGTTAGTTCTAGCGTTCCGTGTCTCTCGGCACCATTAAAAACAGGGAGAAAGGTTGATGACGCCCCCTCCTCCGGCTCCCATCACACGGTTCCGCTTCCACGGGGTGTGGGCTGACAGCGTGTGGCGTGATGTGGAGTCAAAATGTCATCCCAGGCCTTGAGAGTGTCCCCGGAAACAAAGAGCCCCTTCACGGGAAATGCACCCCCTCTCCGCCGGCACCGCCTGCTCCCAGGCCCCCAGCATGGTCAAGGCTGTTTTAATTTATGAGCTCGGGGAGCGGAGCCATCCCAACACAGCCGCTCATAAAAAATGGTTCATCTGTAACCGGAAAGGGTCTCCTCTCCAGCACATGGCCCTGTCTCTGCAGGCACGCGGCCCTGTCTCTGCTGGCACGCGGCCCTGTCTCTGCAGGCACGCGGCCCTGTCTCTGCCAGCATGCGGCCCTGTCTCTGCCAGCACGTGGGCCCTGTCTCTGCAGGCACACGGGCCTGTCTCTGCAGGCATGCGGCCCTGTCTCTGCAGGCACATGGCCCTGTCTCTGCAGGCACGCGGCCCTGTCTCTGCAGGCACGCGGCCCTGTCTCTGCCAGCATGCGGCCCTGTCTCTGCCAGCACGTGGGCCCTGTCTGAAGCAAGGCCGTCATGGACGCTGTCAGAACCACGTCCTGGGCACCAAGCACCCGGTCGTCAGCAGCTGAAACAAGCAAGCAGCCCTCGTGTTCAGCCACGCCTGGGTCCCGGCACAGCGTGCTGGTGCACTCTAACATGTGCACAGCGGTCTCTCGGGTGGAGACCCCAAGACACTTGCAAGGGAAGTAAACCACAAGCTGACGCAATGACCTCACTTGACCCAAACCAAAAGCCAGAGCCGACCTGGGGAGGACCTGGGGTTGCTGCAGGAAGCGTGCCCCCTGCACTCCCTGACCGCTGCGGACAGGAGCCCGGCAGTCAGCCCCCTGCACGGCCAGGGCGAGGCCCTGCACCCCTGCCCATTACACCTGCACACGCGCACTGTGCTGCACCACAGACCCCACCCACAGACCAGGCTGCAGCCGGCACAGCATACCTGCTGACGCCTCCAGCTTGCGCTTGTGGGGCGGGTCCTCAAGGATCCTATTGAGGTCCCCGCGGTCCCTCAGGTCCACGGGCTTCTCCCAGACGGACAGCTGCATGGTGGGGTTGAAGAAGAACACTCGGTCGTCGCCCGTCCAGACCACACACCTATTGGGATCGGAAACCTCAGCTCAGTGACGCGCACAGGCACTGAGTGGAAAAGCCGTCGCAGGCGCCCTGGCCGGCGTACTCGGGTCTGGAGCCGCCAGGGGAGCTGATTTCCTATGCTCTGCTGGGGTTCCGGCCTCACGCCCGGGGCGCCCCTTCCCCAGCACGGCAGGTGCTGAGCCCCAGGAAACCTGCGCTTGCCAGAGGCTCCGGCGTCTTCCCCACTGACCCTGGGCTCTGCCAGGGCAGCGCGGCACCTGGGGGCGGGTTTATCCGGCCAGACCGCAGATCCTGCATCAGCCTCTGTTGTGGACATGGCAGGTTGCAGGGTGGGCCCCGCACCGCTGCCACTCCATTTCCAAAGCCGGGGCAGAGTGGAGCTGTCCAGGCCCTCACAGGGGACTTCATTACCCAGGAGAGTTTGGGTGACAGCAAGGAGCACCCCTACATCCAGATTACAACAGAGCCCCAGTCTCATGCCCAGGGAGTGGTGGGAGATGCGTGGAACTGAACCACAGAGCTGCAGGCAGGTAAGCAAATGTGGCTCCCCAGGGAAATCTGCCATCCTCTAGTTACGGTTGGTTTCAACTGGATGGAGCCAGCTGTAACATGCAAAATTAATTTTATGTATCACTTTACGCCCATTTCCAGTAATGTGGCTCCCGTCCTTAATCGCGCAATGACTTCTGGACAGCAGCCAGCCTCCTCTTCCCTCCCCTGGCCGGCATCCCAGAGGGGTCATCAGTGCCCCGGGGTGGTGCATCCTCGCGGGCAGCCGGGAGCAGCAAATCCCGTTCAACCATGTGAGCACTGGGAGCTGCTTCGCTCTCCAAGAGGGTTCTCCCAATCGCCCTTCAGACAGCAACACCAGCCTCTTACACCGGGCGGGCGAGAGGCTTGAAGCTCCACTCCCTGGGCCTGGCCTCCCACCACCGCCAGCTCCCACATGGACACCCGTCCTCACACCCACACACGCCGGCACACCCGTCCTCACACCCACACAGACACTGACACACTGTCTGCACACCCACACATGCTGGCACACCCATCCTCATACCCACACACGCCGGCACGCCTGTACTCACACCCACACACATTGGCACACCCGTCCTCACATCCACACACACCGGCACGCCCGTCCTCACACCCATACACACCGGCATGCCCGTCCTCACACCCACAGACACTGACACACTGTCTGCACACCCACACATGCTGGCACACCTGTCCTCACACCCACACACGCCGGCACATCCGTCCTCATACCCACACACACCGGCACGCCCGTCCTCACACCCACACAGACACTGGCAGTGTCTGCACACCCACACACGCCGGCACGCCTGTCCTCACACCCACAGACACCGGCACACCCGTCCTCACACCCACACACGCCAGCACGCCCGTCCTCACACCCACACACACCGGCACACCAGTCCTCACACCCACACAGACACTGGCACAGTGTCTGCACACCCACACACGCCGGCACACCTGTCCTAATACCCACACACACCGGCACTCCCGTCCTCACACCCACACACTGACACACTGTCTGCACACCCACACATGCTGGCACGCCTGTCCTCACACCCACACACGCCAGCATACCCTCCTTGTACCCACACAGACACCGGCACCCCCTCCCCTTCCCAGGGCTCCTCTCTGCTGGATGGAGCCTGGCACTCGCTGGGCCCCTCCACCAGGCCCTGGGCCCCCTGGCTCTGACAGGGGCAGGTGGAGGGTGCGGGGCCTCTCCACACGGAGGAGACAGCAGGAAGTACCTGGCTGTTCTCCAGCCCAAGGCCAACTCTGCAGCCCCTCTCCACACCACCCCTGCCATTCTAGGAAGAACGCATAGACAGCATCAATATCTGCCTTAGGCTCGAGAGAAGAAAAGCCCAGCCACCGAAAAGCATAGCCCCCCTGGCTCCCAGCCAGGCTCCCGCCCCGTGTGCACCCAGCACCCAGCCAGGCTCCCGCCCCGTGCGTACCCAGCACCCAGTCAGGCTCCCGCCCCGTGTGTACCCAGCACCCAGCCAGGCTCCCGCCCCGTGCGTACCCAGCACCCAGTCAGGCTCCCGCCCCGTGTGTACCCAGCACCCAGCCAGGCTCCCGCCCCGTGTGCACCCAGCACCCAGTCAGGCTCCCGCCCCATGCGTACCCAGCACCCAGTCAGGCTCCCGCCCCGTGCGCACCCAGCACCCTGGCCTCAGGACACGGCAGGGAGCCTCGGTTCTCTGCTCCTGACGCAGAGGAGGGTGCTGTGGTCTACCCCCATGAAAAGCGCTGGTCCCCACCGCCTGCTCTGCTGTGTCCTGAGGGCAAACGGCTCCAGCTTCTTCCTTCTGAGACAAGAAACCATGCAGGCAGTGCCTGCCGGAGAGACCGAGAGAGACACGGAGGTGGACGGGAGTCTCCCGCGCCCAGCGTTCTCTGCAGCCGAGCCGGGCAGGGGCTGAGGACTGCCCAGACCCGGCCTGGCTGTCCCGGCTCCCGGGATCCTCAGGAGGCATCTGCCGAAGCTCCAAAGGTTTTGCCATCCAGTGTTGGTTCTCCTGTCCTCGTGGTCAAGCGAGAAGCAGCACACGCCCCACCAGTGAGCAGCAGGAGCTGGAAGGCTGGCTCAGAGCCCGGCGACCACGTGTCCAGCCCTGGAGTGTGGACCGGAACCCACCCGCGGGACTCCTCCCCAAGTGCCCCCGCAGCTCCTCCCCATCCCGCCCCGCCCCGCCCCGGCTGCCTCACACTCCAGGCTCGGCTCTCACCACCCTGCGATGGGCAGAATCCCCTCCCGGCCCATGCAGCTGCGGGGCGACTGGACCCATGGAGGCCACGGCCGTCTCGGTCTTCCCACGAGGTAGCCTGGGGATGAGCAGGGTGGACGCGGCTCCTGCCCCCTGAGCACTGCGCCCAGGGCCTTGTAAGTGGGTGCAGGGGGCGGCTTCTCCCCTCAGCCTCCTCCACGCCGTCAGGATCCATGTGACACTCTGTGCAGCATCCGACAGCTCCCAGGCCCCTCCCCTGACATAATCAAGGACCAGGATGCAGGGGCGGGGCGGGGGAGGCGACATTTGTGTACGGAGGAAGAGCAGCGCCTGTCTCCAAGGTGGGCGGCCGCCATCACACAGCGAGAGTCACATGTGAAAGATGGATGCTGTGGCCGCGGCCCGGCCTGGCCTCTCTGGGTGGCCATAACTTCCAACTACTGCTCTGTGCCAACGGCAGCCGGGAGCGCTCCTGCACAAGGTCTTTTGCCCATCTTCGCCAAGATCATGCACGAATATTCATTCTCTTACAACAAAACATGTTCAGGACTTACATTTTTTAAAAATCCAGAGGAACTGTTGTGAAATTATCACACCCCCGAGTCAGTTCTTATTCACAGCGGCTGGCGCGGTGACTCAGCAGGTTCGAACAGCGGCTGGCGCGGTGACTCAGCAGGTTTGAGTGCCCCCTGCAATGCTGGCATCCTACATGGGCGCCAGTTCCAGTCTCAGCTGCTCCATTTCCAGTCCAGCTCCCTGCTAAGGGTCTGGGAAAGCAGTGGAGGATGGCCCAAGTCCTTGGGCGCTCGTGCCCATGTGGGAGACCTGGAAGAAGCTCTGGGCTCCTGGCTTCGGCCTGGCACAGCCCCTGCTGTTGCAGCCATTTGGGGAGTGAACCATCAGGTAGAAGATTTCTCTCTCAGTCTCTCTCTCTCAGTTTCTCTCTCTCTCTCTCTCTCTAACTCTGCCTTTGAAATAAACACTTCTTTAAAACATAATTATTAATAAAACATCATGATAAATGCAACACGTCAGAATTAGAAACAAATTATTAACATAAAAGCAGGGGCCTGAGGAAGGGGTCTGGGATGTTACGATGCAGATCAGCGGCTCACGGCACCATCAGCGCACGGCGTCTGCAGCGGTTGTGCCAAAGCCTCTTCCGTCCTCAGCGTCCAGAGTCTGCCCCCAGCCCCGCCGGCTCCTCCTTGGCAGAGACGCACGGCTGGCCCCGGGCTGCGTGGTGGGACAGGTGTCACTCACATCTCAGGGTGCACCGTGGCCACCTCTCTCCTGCATTTTCAGTACCTTCGCTTCTTAGGATGGAGATGAGCCCCCTCGGGAAGCGCCCGCCTCTGACGGATGCCGGGGGCCCTCCACAAGCCGGGAGTGCACTGTGGGGGCCCCGCCAACCACGTGGAGAAGGACCAGGGCCCCGCGCTCCTGGGCCGGGGGCATCAGCTGCTGTGTGTGGTTCCGGGTGTTCTGAATGGGACGGGCTCAGTGTGCACTTGTCCAGCTCACTGCTAATCTTCTGTAAATCCTTCGTCTTTCAAATGGTTTTAAGATGCTAATTGATCCTTGGCATTGACATTCTTTGTCAGGTGAGCCAAAAGCTCCTGGATTTCACACTTTGTTGGGCAATCATCTTTGAATTTCCCCGCGGCCATCAACAACCCCAACACAACATGCAGTCACTTCCCAACGAGAGAAAGCCTTCAAAATTACCATTTGGGCTGAAAGCCAAATCATAAAACAGAGGAGGGAACAGAAACTCTTCAAGCAACAAAACCCACAGCGTTCCCGTCTGAGCGCAGCCCGGACGTCTCGAGCTGGGCCCTCCGCTCAGAGCAGGGCAGGTGGCCACAGAGCTGACCCAGGCCTCCTCGTCCCCTCCCCCTGTGACCGGCCCACCGCGGTGACGGGGCCCTGGAACAACCACAGCCCAGGCCCGGCCACCTCCGCGCGGCTGCACACGGGGGCCCCACTCTTCCTGGAAGGGAGCCGTCGGCTCTGCCTCCCCCACCGTCGGCTCTGCCTCCCCTGCCATCAGGACGGCGTCTGCACCTCCCCAGCTTCCCCCAAGGAGGCTGTCAGAGGTGAGGACGGGTGCTCCCCAGCGCGCTGTCAGCCAGCAGCCTGGGTGCCCTGCAGGGAACAGGGGGAGCCTCAGCCCCCCCCCCCCACCGGCCCAGTCACTGTCACGTGGGTTCCTGCAGCAGCCGGGCACCCGCACCTTCCTCCGACCCCCAGGTGAGCCGTGCGGCTCCTCCCTACTGTGGGCTCCTGCCGCCTGGCCTCTGCTGCCGTGCACAGAACCAAGGAAAACAGAAGCGAGAGCGCGAGTGCTGGGTTTGCCTCTCCCTCTGATTCCACATCGCCAGGCTCCACCAGGTGCAGCTCCCAGACCGCCTGTGAGCTCCTGGCCAGGCCCAGCCACGCGGAGTCCTCCAGGGCCAGGCTTGCGGGGGAGCGTGGGCCTGAGGTGGCGGTCTCACACTCGGCACCACACACGCTCTCCTCCAGGACCAGGTCTGATCTGACAACCCGGAGCCTCCGCCTGGCCTTGCCGAGAGAGGCCTGGGGCTTGGCCGGCCAGTGGATGCTGGGGAGGACACCCCACAGGGAGAGCAGCAAGAACGGGGTCCCTGGGGCGTGGGCAGAGGGCCCTGGGGCCTGGCTCTGAGGAGTGACTCAGCCCAGAGCTGTCCCAGAGGCACGGCCCACCCGTCTGCTCACCGCCCGTCTGCTCACTGCCAGCTCCTCCGGTCACTCCCTGCCCCCTACCTGGTCACTGCCAGCCAGGGCCCCTGGCAGACCCTGAGCTCACCTGCCAGAGTCCATGCACACCCCCTCCCACACCAACCTGCTTTGGAGGGGTCCCAAGCACAGGACGGCTCCCTGCAAGCCCACGGCCATCTCTCCTGAGCCTCAGGGCCTGAGCAGTGGGGAGGGACCATGCCAGACAGGCCAACAGCGCCGTGCCCGCCTGCCTGGAGCCTTCCAGAGCTGCCGGTCTGGCCTCTTGTCCTGAGACAACAGCCGAAGAGCTCCCCCAGGGTGGGGGCGAAGGGCTGCTGCCCCCGTTGCTGGAGCCGACACCGGGCCGGCCCCAGTTCCACCTGCCTCGTCGGTCCTCCTGGCTCTGCCCAGGGCCCTGCTCATTCCTTCCGGCTCTTACCGGTCCAGCAAAGGTGCTTGTTAGAAGCTTCAAGGTAGCCACTGCCCTGTAATTGTCTCCACCTGGGCAGCGGTGCCCTTCCCGAGCCATGGGTGGTTTTAAGTGGGCGGGGGAGAGGAGACGGCCGGTGGTGCCACATGCCCGCCCCCAGACCTGCCTCCCAGGGTCTCCCTGAGCCGCGGGTGCCTGGCCAGAGGCTGCCTGCCCGCACGCCCCCGAGGGCGGGGCAGAGCGGATGATGCGGGGAACGAGTGGCAGGTTGCAGGGTTGGGGAAGTGTGGCGTCCCTGAGGTCACCACGCGTGATGCTGAGACTAATGAGGGTGTCACACCTCAATGCACACGACCTCCCTCCTCACCCAGAGCACCGACAGCAGGCGCAGGTGCAGGCGCAGCCGCCCCTCGCCCTCCAGGGGCCACACAAGCCCCTGCTTGGGGCTGCTGGGGTCCTGTGACCCTCACAGCCTCGGTCTCAGGCCTCTCAACACAGCCGCAGACTCCTGTTCATCAGGCACAGCGGAAGGACCAGGGCGGCGCCAGCAGAGGCCTGGTGCCTGGTGACCCCAGCAGCCAGGCCCCGTTCCGATCCCTACAGAGCCCCCCATGGAGAGGGGCTCCTCCGTCCACCTGCGGTAGCCCTGGCTGGGCCCTGCTGGGGGCCTCCAGCTCCCCAAGGCGCTCCCGAGTCAGACAGAAAGGGCCAGGAGCTGGCACCCCACCAGCGCCAGTCCACGTGATGACCAGGACAGCGGCACATCCGGGGGCTCCTCGGCTGCTCCTCCCCTCTCCGCCCAGGCCCAAACTCCACCAGCTGTCCTCCTGGCCGCCCCGCACACCCTGCCCACCAGTGCCAGCCATCCTCCTGGCCGCCCCCACACCCTGCCTGCCAGCAGTGGTAGTAAGAGGGCTCCGTCACCTCACCCTCCAAACACAGCTGCCACTCACGGTCCTCTCTGGGCTCCTGGGCTGGGCTCTTCCATCCCAGCTGCTCCACGCCCCACCCTCCCTGCCCCGCACCCGCGGCCACAGGGCTGAGGTCCTCGGCACTGAAATCCGGTGGCGGTCAAGAGGCCACTTCAGCCGGGTGACAGGGGCTCGACCTCGCCGGGTGACAGGGGCTCCACCTCGCGGGGTGACAGGGGCTCGACCTCGCCATGTGACAGGGGCTCGACCTCGCGGGGTGACAGGGGCTTGACCTCGCGGGGTGACAGGGGCTCGACCTCGTGGGGTGACAGGGGCTCGACCTCACCGGGTGACAGGGGCTCGACCTCGCAGGGTGACAGGGGCTCGACCTCGTGGGGTGACAGGGGCTCGACCTCACCGGGTGACAGGGGCTCGACCTCGCAGGGTGACAGGGGCTCGACCTCGTGGGGTGACAGGGGCTCCACCTCGCGGGGTGACAGGGGCTTGACCTCGCGGGGTGACAGGGGCTTGCGCACTGGCTTATCTCTCACAGGCAAAGGCCCGGGCACGGTGCGGCCCCGGGTCCCTGTCAGCATTCTGCGTCACACACGTTCCTGGGGAAGCCAAGCCACAGCTCTCCCAGTCAGAAGGCTCCACGGGGTTCCTGGTGGCTCAAGCCTGGGCCCCTGCCACCCCCACGGAGAACCAGACTGAGCTCCTGGCTGCTGGCCCTGGCCTGGCCCAGTCCCAGATGTTGTGAGCATTTGGGGAGTGAGCAGTGGATGGGAGTTCCCTGCCCCCTCTCTCTCTCAAAAATATAAATTAATTACTTAAAAAATTAAATCTATCACAGCATAGCTGGTAAAGCCCCTGCCTGCGACACCAGCATCCATATAGATGCCAGTTTGCGTCCCGGCTGCTCCACTTCCCATCCAGCTCCCTGCTGTGGCAGGGAAAACAGTGGAAGATGGACCAAGTGCTTGGGCCCCTGCACCTGCGTAGGAGACCTGGAAGAAGCTCCTGGCTCCTGGCTTTGGATCAGCTGAGCTCTGACCATTGTGGCCATCTGGGGAGCGAACCAGTGGATGGAAGACCTCTCTGTCACACTTCCAAAATAAAGTAATAAATCTTTTAAAAAAAATGAAAAAAACTATTACAAACAAAATAGGCTTGGCCACAGAAGCTCCTAGAACCAGGTGGGGGGGAAAGGGGGTCATGTCCTTTGTTACTCCTAAGGGCCCTGGCGCCCACCTGGGTGTCACTAGGGCTGTGACCCCGGGGCTTCCGGTCAGGTCCAGGAGTGCAGCCAGGACATCGGACATTGGCAGGTGGGGACTATCAGCCCAGATGTGATCAATCAATCACTTGGCAACGACTTTGCCAACAAAGCCTGAGCACTGGAAACCCAGGTGGCCTGGAGGAGTGAGGCCAGGTGGCCTGGAGGGGTGAGGCCAGGTGGCCCCAGGCAGTGCACTCAGGTCCTGGCCGGGCCAGGGGCTCGGCACCCCGCCCCAGCTGCACTGCTCAGTGGGCGGCTCTCAGCTCATCCCTGACCTTGAAGCCGCAGGGCCAGGAAAGCCCTTTCCTGAGCTCTGAGTCGCTCTGGGAGCCATCACCACCGCCGTGGAGGTCCAGGGTCGCCTCGCCTGTGCTCAGCTGGGCAGAAGGGCAGGAGGCCGAGGACCCCGCTGGCCGCTAGCACCCCCAGCGGCGGTGGTCTTAGGGGCTGAGCCCTGCCCGCGGGTTCTGAGGCACTCCGAAGTGCAGCCAGGTGGCAGGGGGCACTGCACCGAGCCCCACAACGCAGACGCGCAGGGCGGAGAGCTGGTGTAGGGAGGGCAGCATCCCACGGCGGGCCAGCGGCACAAGGAAGGGCCTGGGCCTCTCGGGCTGGGCGTGGGTTCACCCCACCGAGGAGGCCACCAGGCAGGGCCCGGCCCCTGGGGCGCCCTCACTCACTGCGCAGGGTGCGGCGAGGCGCCAGCACAGGACATGGCAGCGCGTGCAGGAGCCGCCCCCCCAGCCGCACGCCGCACTCAGATCTCCGGGTTCCGTGATGCAGTTTTACTATAACCACCTTTTATTCGGCTTCCAAAGACTCCATTATTAAAGGGCATTTTTGAAAACCAGAGCCTGGCTCCCTGGTGGGGGCAGTCCTGAGCTCGGCAAACCGAAGCTCGGAACCCTCGAGGGCAGCCACGGAGAGCCGGGCGCGCTGCAACTGACAGCCACTCGGCCTGGCGTCTGCCGGCAGCAGCGGCGAGAAAACCCTTTGAAGCGCGAGGCACGCGAGGCGTGGGCGCTCGCTGGGCCCTGCCGTGGCTGCCGGGGAGCAGGACTGGAACCTCACTCCATCGTCAGAGCAGGACACCCGTCACCTGGGAAGCCTCTTCCCTCCGCAGGAAGTGACCCAGGGTGCAGCTCCCCTGCCGGGAGGGAGGCACAGAGCCACTTCTCAAGCAGCGCGGGCAGGGACCTGCATTTCCCTCTGGGGGCCTCGGGCAAGCACGGGGCCAAGGCACACTCAGGCTTCTTACCAGGGGGAGCCGGGCACCGGGGTGGAGGCCACAGGTCTGGTGCCTCTCGCCGTGCTGTCCTCTCCTTGCACCAGGATGGAAGGAGGCCCCTGAGAGAGAGAGAGAGAGAGAGACAGAGAGAGAGAGACAGAGAGACAGAGAGACAGAGACAGAGAGAGAGAGAGAGAGAGGCCGCTGTTAAACACTTGTCAATGACGGGCGACCCAGCGAAGACCCAGGAAAGCCCCTGCACACAGCCCTGGCTGGGGTCCAGAGGTGAACGCAGTGGGGTCTTCTCTGTGACAATTCAGGGTGACGGGCGCCTTGCCCCGCGTCACTCGGCTGCATTCCGCGTCCCCAGCCCGCCCGCCCGACCCCACTGCTCTGCTGCTCTTGCGTTCACCTCTGGACAAGGGCGGAGCCAGCGGCCAGGGCCCCCCTGCCATCAGAACACCACGTCCAGGGGCAGGGGCCCTCGAAGCGCAGCCAGCCTGGCACGTCCAGCTCCCCTCGGGGCAGGGGAGAGTGAGCAGGAACCAAGGGCTGGGCCCGCAGGAGGCCACCCCTCCCCCGGCCTGAGCTGGGGCTGAATTCTGTCCTGATGGCGGGTTCCTGGAAGGCAGAACCTGGACGTGACAGCTCCTACAGGAAAATGGGGACTCTCCCCTGTAATTGGAAACCAAACAAAGGTTGTGTCATTGCTCTGCGCTGCAGAGGAGCGGCCATCTGAGGTTAGCACTGGGAACAGCCCAGGGCCCCAGGGCCCGCACCCGCTGATGCACAACAGGCAGGGCCCGCCGTCCGGTCACGGGCAGACAGCGTCCCACTTGTGCAGTGGAGCCCCAGGCAGCACGGCCTCGGCGCAGCCATCCAGCAGAGAGCACGGGAGTCCCGGCGTGAGGAACGCCGACCGCTGCTGCCCGCTGCCCACGGTTCGACGGCAAACTCGGAACAACGCGACGAGCACGACGCTCTCTTTCAGAGAATCAGAAGAGACTGGGAGACAGCAACGCACTGTCCGAAGCAGCAGCTCTGCTCTGCACTGAGACCGTCAGAGAAGAACCGGTCATCCTGACCCTTTACAACGTCATCCACACCCGAGTTTAGGAGACAGCGTAGGGGAGAAGATGCCTCACCACCTGACCAACCACAGCCTAGTGAGTCCTTCCGGGGGCCAGGCTACCCTAGAAACGTGGTGTCTAGTGCTCCAGGGCCCAGCCCACCTGTCCATGGGCCCACACCTGCTACCATCGCCTGACCCACTTCTCAGACAGGGCGGCTAGGAGGACGGGGGATCCCGCAGCCCAGCAGCCTGCATCCGAGGAACAGGTGCAGGAACCCACGCGTCTCTGAGGGACAAGAGGGAGACAAACCCCAAACACGCCCCTCTGCCCGACGGGGCCTGGGGGTTCTGCAGACACAGGAAGCGGCCCCTCCTGGACCACGTGCTCCAGACTGGACGGCGGTGCTGGGCCCACACCACGAGGGCCTGGGAGCGGAGCCTTCCCCGGGAAAGTCCCCACCCGGCCCTGGCACAGGCAAGGCTGCAAAGGCGTGGCTCAAACACCACAGGGGCTCCAGGAACCTGCCGAGCACTGGCTCCTGCACCCGCTGGCGTCTGCCCCGGCCCCCTCACCCCGACAGATAAGCACCCTGAACAGGGACGGGGTTCAAACAACTGCCCTTGCATTTCAGAACTGAAGAACCACATCTTCAAAAAGAATTTTCTGGTAGAAGAAAACATCTTTGATTTCCCTGAGAAAATGAGGTCAGGATAAATGATTAGCATCACAGGGAGGACTCAGAAACGCTTGGCACAAAAAATGTGCACAGAAACCGAGTTTATGTTACCGCACCAGGCAGAACGCTGGGGGGACCTCTGCAATGACACTCACTGAGCGACAGGAACACAACAAGGAGCCTTCGACTGGTGGGCAACGCCAGCTATGGTCCGGGTGAGGGGCAGGTGTGGTCCGGGTGAGGGGCAGGTGTGGTCTGTGGGGGAGGGTGTGGGTGGTCCGGGTGAGGGGCAGGTGTGGTCTGTGGGGGAGGGGGTGGGTGGTCCGGGTGAGGGGCAGGTGTGGTCTGTGGGGGATGGGGTGTGTGGTCCAGGTGAGGGGCAGGTGTGGTCTGTGGGGGAGGGTGTGGGTGGTCCAGGTGAGGGGCAGGTGAGGTCTGTGGGGGAGGGTGTGTGGTCCAGGTGAGGGGCAGGTGTGGTCTGTGGGGGAGGGTGTGGGTGGTCCAGGTGAGGGGCAGGTGTGGTCTGTGAGGGGGTGGGGTGGGTGGTCCAGGTGAGGGGCAGGTGTGGTCTGTGAGGGGGTGGGGTGGGTGGTCCAGGTGAGGGGCAGGTGTGGTCTGTGGGGGAGGGTGTGGGTGGTCCAGGTGAGGGGCAGGTGTGGTCTGTGGGGGATGGGGTGTGTGGTCCAGGTGAGGGGCAGGTGTGGTCTGTGGGGGATGGGGTGTGTGGTCCAGGTGAGGGGCAGGTGTGGTCCAGGTGAGGGGCAGGTGTGGTCTGTGGGGGAGGGTGTGGGTGGTCCGGGTGAGGGGCAGGTGTGGTCTGTGGGGGAGGGGGTATGTGGTCCAGGTGAGGGGCAGGTGTGGTCTGTGGGGGATGGGGTGTGTGGTCCAGGTAAGGGGCAGGTGTGGTCTGTGGGGGAGGGGGTGGGTGGTCCAGGTGAGGGGCAGGTGTGGTCTGTGGGGGAGGGGGTATGTGGTCCGGGTGAGGGGCAGGTGTGGTCTGTGGGGGATGGGGTGGGTGGTCCAGGTGAGGGGCAGGTGTGGTCTGTGGGGGATGGGTGTGTGGTCCAGGTGAGGGGCAGGTGTGGTCTGTGGGGGAGGGTGTGGGTGGTCCAGGTGAGGGGCAGGTGTGGTCTGTGGGGGAGGGGATGGGGTGTGTGGTCCAGGTGAGGGGCAGGTGTGGTCTGTGGGGGAGGGGGTGTGTGGTCCATGTGAGGGGCAGGTGTGGTCTGTGGGGGGTGGGGTGGGTGGTCCAGGTGAGGGGCAGGTGTGGTCTGTGGGGGAGGGGGTGTGTGGTCCATGTGAGGGGCAGGTGTGGTCTGTGGGGGAGGGTGTGGGTGGTCCAGGTGAGGGGCAGGTGTGGTCTGTGGGGGATGGGGTGTGTGGTCCAGGTGAGGGGCAGGTGTGGTCTGTGGGGGAGGGTGTGGGTGGTCCAGGTGAGGGGCAGGTGTGGTCTGTGGGGGAGGGTGTAGGTGGTCCAGGTGAGGGGCAGGTGTGGTCTGTGGGGGATGGGGTGTGTGGTCCAGGTGAGGGGCAGGTGTGGTCTGTGGGGGATGGGGTGTGTGGTCCAGGTGAGGGGCAGGTGTGGTCTGTGGGGGATGGGGTGTGTGGTCCAGGTGAGGGGCAGGTGTGGTCTGTGGGGGAGGGTGTGGGTGGTCCAGGTGAGGGGCAGGTGTGGTCTGTGGGGGAGGGGGTGGGTGGTCCAGGTGAGGGGCAGGTGTGGTCTGTGGGGGAGGGTGTAGGTGGTCCAGGTGAGGGGCAGGTGTGTCGTGGGGGATGGGGTGTGTGGTCCAGGTGAGGGGCAGGTGTGGTCTGTGGGGGAGGGGGTGGGTGGTCCAGGTGAGGGGCAGGTGTGGTCTGTGGGGGAGGGGGTATGTGGTCCGGGTGAGGGGCAGGTGTGGTCTGTGGGGGATGGGGTGGGTGGTCCAGGTGAGGGGCAGGTGTGGTCTGTGGGGGATGGGGTGTGTGGTCCAGGTGAGGGGCAGGTGTGGTCTGTGGGGGAGGGTGTGGGTGGTCCAGGTGAGGGGCAGGTGTGGTCTGTGGGGGAGGGGTGTGTGGTCCATGTGAGGGGCAGGTGTGGTCTGTGGGGGGTGGGGTGGGTGGTCCAGGTGAGGGGCAGGTGTGGTCTGTGGGGGATGGGGTGTGTGGTCCGGGTGAGGGGCAGGTGTGGTCTGTGGGGGAGGGGTGGGTGGTCCAGGTGAGGGGCAGGTGTGGTCTGTGGGGAGGGTGTGGGTGGTCCAGGTGAGGGGCAGGTGTGGTCTGTGGGGGAGGGTGTAGGTGGTCCAGGTGAGGGGCAGGTGTGGTCTGTGGGGGATGGGGTGTGTGGTCCAGGTGAGGGGCAGGTGTGGTCTGTGGGGGATGGGGTGTGTGGTCCAGGTGAGGGGCAGGTGGTCTGTGGGGGATGGGGTGTGTGGTCCAGGTGAGGGGCAGGTGTGGTCTGTGGGGGAGGGTGTGGGTGGTCCAGGTGAGGGGCAAGGTGTGGTCTGTGGGGGAGGGGGTGTGTGGTCCAGGTGAGGGGCAGGTGTGGTCTGTGGGGGAGGGGGTGGGTGGTCCAGGTGAGGGGCAGGTGTGGTCTGTGGGGGAGGTGTGGGTGGTCCAGGTGAGGGGCAGGTGTGTTCTGTGGGGAGGGTGTGGGTGGTCCAGGTGAGGGGCAGGTGTGGTCTGTGGGGGAGGGGGTGGTTGGTCCAGGTGAGGGGCAGGTGTGGTCTGTGGGGGAGGGGATGGGGTGTGTGGTCCAGGTGAGGGGCAGGTGTGGTCTGTGGGGGAGGGGATGGGGTGTGTGGTCCAGGTGAGGGGCAGGTGTGGTCTGTGGGGGGACCACTCTGGAGTCTTGGGCGTGCAGCTTCCCCACGCTGACCACCTGGCTGTCTGCAGGAGTCACACGCAGGCTGTGGTTTCCTGCTGGTGATGAAAATGGCTAAGCAGGCCCGGTGCTGTGGCGCAATGGTCAACACCCTGGTCTGAGTGCCGGCATCCATATGGGCAGCAGTTAGACCCGGCTGCTCCTCTTCCAGTCCAGTTCTCTGCTGTGGCCTGGGAAAGCAGTGGAGAATGGCCAAGTGCTTGGGCCCCTGCACCCACATGGGAGACCTGGAGAAGCTCCTGGCTCCTGGCTTCGGATCAGCGCAGCTCCAGCCATTGTGGCCAGTGGAGTGAACCATCGGATGGAAGACTTCTCTCTCTCTCTCTCTCTCTCTCTCTCTGCCTCTCCTCTCTCTCTTCTTCACCTCTCTCTGCATATCTCTGACTTTCAAACAAATAAATCTTTAACAAAGAAAGAAAGAAAATGGCTAACCAGGGCATGAGACCCCTGGTGCTGAAGTCCTGAAGGTGAGTGAGGCCTGAAGAGCCCCGCGGCCCTGGGACAGCTGTCCTGCAGTTCCGGCACAGGCATCCATCTTTATGGGAAAACCATGCATCCAGGCAGAAGATGTCTCCGCGCTAGCGTTTGGGTCGCCGCTCACGTCACAGCAGCTCTGACTGTGGGGACAACGGTGCCTGCCTATGGGGACCCTGTCCCCGGAGAACGCTACGGGGGGGGGACAGAGCACTCACAGGGACAGCGGCAGGGACAGGGACAGCGGCAGAGAGAGGGACAGCAGCAGAGAGAGGGACAGCAACAGAGAGAGGGACAGTGACAGAGACGGGGACAGCGGCAGAGACAGGGACAGTGGCAGAGAGAAGGACAGCGGCAGAGGATTGGAAGGGCCACCAGCGCCGAGTCGGCCCAGAGCCCCAGCCGATCTGACAGACGAGAGCTGACAAAATGTGATTCGTGATTTTCAAACGTGGCAGGAAACGGAAGGCCTTGGGCTGTTCCCAGCAAGGACTCTGCTGTGACAGGTGTGTCCTGACGATGCCTCCCGGGAAATGGCAGGGAGAAAGGCCTCCGACCAGGAGAAAGCAACGCACTGGGTTTCCCCAGCGATGAAACCCAAGCACAAGCCACGCCTTGCTAGGCAGCATCCACGTAGGGCTGTGTGGTCCTCTGTGTGTCCTGAAAATGCTCGCTCCCTGGGGCACCTGCCGGTGAGCTCTCGGGATGCCTGGCCCAGCCGCGCTCCCGCACAGAGCTCCCGAGCTGCTGGCCTGCAGCCGGCAGTCTCCGCAGAGCAGGGGCGTCATTGCACGGACACCACATGGGAACAGGCCGGGAAGCGTGCCCCCACTCCCCCACCCTGGGGTTCCCAGACCGACCTTCTCGTCGCTGTCCGTGGGCAGGCTCTTCCTCTCGGGCGCTGGGTGCAGCATCAGAGCTGGGGGGCAGGCGGCCCGGCTGCGGCTGCGCTCTTGGCCTTTATCTGTTGGACCAGAGCAGTCATGGTTAGCACTGCACGTGCACACCAGGCTGGGAAAACGGAACAATCGGAGCCCAAATGCGACGTGGCCATTCTGGTCGGCTGTGAGCTCCACAGGGAGACTGTGGGTGGAGGTCGAGCCACATCGTTCTCTTGCTGAGGTGGGCGTGCAGGGTCGGCCTGGGCCACACGGCGGGGGCTGCCTCCCAACACTGCCCTCTGCCCACCCCTCAATGTCCAGGACCCATCTCCCAGCAGCCATGCCCAGCGTCTGTCTCCCCAGGCTTGTAAGGAGAGGCCCCCGGTTAGCTGTCACCTGACAAGGGTGATGGGGACTGTGGATGGTCCCTGGTGGCCCTGTAGCCAGGGGAGGCTGTGAGAACCCCCACAGCCAATGGGCAGCCCCTGTCCAGGTCGGGGGGAGGTGCTGTGCCTCAGGCCGCTCTCACGTGCCCAGGGCCCACAGTGCTCTGAGCCAGCAGGGGCTCCCTGGATTCCAGCTCCGCCACGGAAATCACTGCTGGCCGCTGGCCGCCGGGCTGTGGACGGACGGGACACAGCGCTTCCGACAGGACATGAGGCAAGGGAGACAGCGTCCAGAGCTGGTGGCCATCGCACACTGCCCTGCGCCACCCTGCAGGGCAGGAGGGCTCCAGGCTGCTCAGCCTGTGGTTCCCTCTGCTTCCCCCAAAGTGGGCATAAGGTTAACCACAGTCCGACCGCATGGCACTTTGCCAAGCAGTTGTTCCCTGTGGCCAGGGAAGAGGGGGAAATCAGGAGATCCTGGAGACACAGAGCTCAGGTTTGATGTCCTCTTCCATAACGTGTACAGCAGGGAGGCCCTCGTCCGCTGCCGTTGCTCTGCCCTGGCCTGCAGACTGCCCAGCGGGCAAACAGCTCCCTGGCTGTTAACAGGGCAGCCGCCCTCGGCACGGGCTGTGGACAATCAGAGCACAGGTCCTGCCTCTGCAAGTGTGTGTAGGCCTGAGCCAAGGTCTCCTGCACGCAGAGACTGGCCCGAGCTGACCACGACCCCCACCAAGAGCCACAGGTGCAGGCTGGCTCTGGGGAAGGACCTGTCAGCTTCCCACCGAACCCAGGAACCAAGCCCGAGCCAAGAAGATTCCGGCCATGGGAAGATGCTGCGCCACTCCAGGTGGTGAGCAGTCACTGGACAGTGTGACGACTCCAGAACTCCGCAGAATCGCTCCCCACGCTCAGTCCCCGTCGAGGTCACTAGACCTCAGGACACCTGCTCTGGTTCCACGTGGGACAGTCCTGCCCTCATCTCTAACTCCACAGCCACCTCTGAATCAGGCTGGCTGGACACTGCACCTCCATTGCAGAGAGCGCGGGAGCCCCACGGCAGGCCAGCCAGGTCCTCAGACCCCGTTCCCGGCCTCCACCCTGCGGGCAGCAGAGGCAGCCCACCCACGGGGGAGCAGGACAACAGGGCTGAGCCCTCCCTTCCCCTGCACCCCGGTACCCAGCCCAAAGCAGGAGTCCGGGTGTCCAGGTGCCCCAGGGTTCCGCCACAGAGACGCCAGGCTCTTCCAGCGGTTACCTGGATGGCAGGCACTGACGGCGGCACGGAGACCCTGTGACTGGACATGAGCGAGTGGCATCTAAGCATAAGCCGGATGCCCTCTGGGTGGGATTTCATCCAAAGTGGGGCAAAGAGAAAGCCCCAGGGAGCAGCCTGGCGCTGTCAGCAGACAGAGGAGAGGCCCACAGTCAACACCATGGCGCCAATACAGCACAGGGCACTCGTCGCCCCTGACACGTGGGCTGAGACCCTCTAAGAGCAGGTGCACAACAGGCATCAGGAAGAGAAAGCCCGCCGGGCCCGGCACTCCTCTCAGCGGAGAGCAGAGCCGCTGGGTGGCTGCCCGCTCCCCAGGGGAAGCACCTCAAAACCCTCCCTACGCTGCTGACGGCCGATCTGGGGACACACGGGTCTACTCTGCTCCTCCTGAGGGCTTCTTGGAGTAGAGGGTTTGGCAACGGTTTGCAAGTCCCTGGGAAGGACATGATGCCCGGATCACCTGTGACAACCCGGCGCGCCCTGCCCCGCTTAACTCTGCAAGTCAGGGACTCTGCCGCCGCCCAGAGCAGCGCCTCCCCCACAGCTGGCCCACGGGAGCACTTGCTCCGGGGTTCTCTGCAGGCCGCTCAGACACGCCCGCACTCTGTGCCCTGGGCCTGCCCACACACCCTGACCACAACGTCCTAACTGCTCCCGGCGCCGCACGAGGGACTCGTTTACGGAGGAAAATCAACAAGCGGCGCGGCTGTGGGCGCTGAGGCACTCCGGGTTGTGGGCGATGCATCTGCTCCTTGCAGAGGGTCCTGACTGCGCCGGGCTCTGCGGCTGGACACAGAGGAGCTCCCAGGGGCCTCCTGCCACAGCGCCGAACGACAGGGAGACGGGCGGGCCGCGGTCTTTCCTGCTTTGTTGGGATGCGAGAGGGCAGGTATTGGGAGCCCCCAGAGGGTGCTGCCCTGCAAGGGGCCCAGGACTCCCCGGGGGCCCACAGCAGTCCTCGCTTGCCCCCTTGGAAAGTGGCGGCTAGAAGAGCGAGAAGAGGGAGGCCCCAGCCCTCGGCAGGCTGAGCTCTGAGCGCCTGTGCAGTCAGCCAGGGTCCTCCTGGGCTCCCCAGGGGGCATGGGGAGGGTCCGAGCCACAGCCGCCAGTGCACGTCCACGCCGCCCACCCGCCCAGAGGCCGCTCCTCACCCGGGCCTGCCACACACAGAAGACGGCAGTGCCTGCCGCCTGCACGTGGGATGAGGAACGTCAGAATCACTACAGCGAGAGGCGACGGTGAGCAAGTCGAAGCTGTCAACCGATCAGGAAACACGAAAAGCACACCCGCAGTTCCAGAAGTGACCCGGAAGTGGACGCGTCCCTGTGGCTTGGGTGATGCCGAGGTCCTGGGGCACCCTGGCAGCAGGACTCCACTTCAGAGCACCCGAGATTCACCCCTGCCACGACCTGGTGTGACACTCAGACAGCAGCGTCACAGCCACACCCTGCTCGGAAAAACAGCCTCCCTTCGTGGTCGCCCAAGCTTCAGACAGGCGGGCTGCCCCGGACCAGTGTTAACATTGCGACTTGTCTGTGGTCCAGACGGCTGAGGTCGGCAGCTGGACAACTGTCAGGACCGTGACTGGTATTATCAGGACTGTTGTTTCGCACAGGCCGTGGGTCAGCTTGACCCCAGGCACCACGTATTCCCATCCCTTCCCGTGGTTTTCGCCTTTATAAACCCTGTTGCTTTGAGCTTTGGGGTCGAGCGTTCTCCAGGGCGCCAGCCGCTCTCCACCCCGGCAATGGCGGACCCCAGAGTTTACCAGGGCGTGGTCCCTCCGCACTCGCTCAGGCACAACAGTCCCTTGGCCTGGGTCTTCCCACCCAGGAAGTGGACGGACCTCTGTGTCTCCTCCTGCTCTGGGATGTGAAGTCCACTAGGTACCAGGCAGCGTCTGCAGTGAACACTGGAGACGCTCAGACCCCACAACAACCCTGGAGGGCCTGGGGGCCGCCCGCCTTCCCGTGGGGAGGGGCCAACCCAGGAAGTGAGATGGGCAGACAGGAATCCACCCTCCTCCGCGGCTGGGCTGTTCCTGGGAGCAGTCCCTTCTGAACCCCTTCTGAAGAGCCGGGGCTGAGGCTGGGCGGTGCCCATGAGGCTGGCCTCCCTGCCACGCAGGGGCACCCTGAGGCTGGGTGGTGCCCATGAGGCTGGGCCTCCCTGCCACGTAGGGGCACCCGTGAGACTGGGTGGCACCCGTGAGGCTGGGTGGCGCCCATGAGGCTGGGCCTCCCTGCCACGTAGGGGCACCCTGAGGCTGGGTGGCACCCGTGAGGCTGGGCCTCCCTGCCACGCAGGGGCACCCTGAGGCTGGGTGGCGCCCATGAGGCTGGGCCTCCCTGCCACGCAGGGGCACCCGTGTGGGGGGAGGGAGCGACTTGAACTCCCACATTGTTGTGAGCTGGGAAGGGTCTGCAAGGAATATCTACACTAGGGCCGGCGCCGTGGCACAGTGGATAAGGCCGTCGCCTGCAGCCCCGTCATCCCACAAGGGCGCTGGTTTGAGTCCTGGATGCTCCACTTCCAATCCAGCTCCCTGCTTATGGCTGAGAAAGCAGCGGAAGACGGCCCAAGTGCTTGGGCTCCTGACAGCCATGTGGGAGACCTGGATGAAGCTCCTGGCTCCTGGCTTAGGCCTGGCCCAGTCCCAGCAGATGTGGCCATTTGGGGAGTGAATGAGCAGGTGGAAGGTCTCTCTCTGGCTCTGCCTCTCTGTAACTCCGCCTTTCAAATAAATAAATCTGAAAAAAAAAAAAAAAGAGCATCCACAACACCAAGCCCCACCCACACCAGCCCCAGCACACAGCTCGCTGGAAAGAAACCTAGAAATGCTCATCTCCGTACCTCCTCACCTCTGCACCTCCTCACCTCTGCACCTCCTCACCTCCGCACCTCTGCACCTCCTCGCCTCCTCACCTCCGCACCTCTGCACCTCCTCACCTCCTCATCTCTGCACCTCCTCACCTCCGCACCTCTGCACCTCCTCATCTCTGCACCTCCTCACCTCTGCACCTCCTCACCTCCTCACCTCCACACCTCTGCACCTCCTCATCTCTGCACCTCCACACCTCTGCATCTTCCTCACCTCCACACCTCTGCACCTCTGCACCTCCTCATCTCTGCACCTCCTCACCTCCTCACCTCTGCACCTCCTCACCTCTACACCTCCTCACCTCTGCACCTCCTCACCTCCACACCTCCGCACCTCTGCACCTCCTCATCTCTGTACCTCCTCACCTCTGCACCTCCTCACCTCACCTCCACACCTCTGCACCTCCTCACCTCCGCACCTCTGCACCTCCACACTTCTGCACCCTCCTCACCTCCGCACCTCTGCACCTCTGCACCTCCTCATCTCTGCACCTCCTCACCTCCTCATCTCCGCACCTCTACACCTCTGCACCTCCTC